TCCACCCTGAAAGTAAGGGCCAGACGATCAGGATGGACAGTACTGCACAGAAAGTCCTAAGGACATCTGATCCGGCCTAGTCAGATGGACCGGGACCAGCCTTCCGCCACGGTAGCAAGTGCATATAATGGTTCCAAGCATCCTGTTATTGTGCGGCATTTGGCCAAGGCGGCAAGTGCATATAACGGTGCTGAGCATACTGCTACTGTAAGACCACCTTTTCAGCTGCAGTATGACCCAAGTACCCTCCTCAAGAGCTGGAGTTAAGTCCAATTTGCGGAAGAACTGAATCAGGCAATCCAAAACATGCAGAAGGCTCAGCAGGCGATGGTAGATGAGACCAATGAGCACCGCAGCCCTTCTGTATTCAGGGGTGTTGATCTTGTTTTGGGGAGCACGGACACTTTTGCAACAGAAGGTGGCATTTCCAGAGAGCTCCAACCTAACCGGCACGGGCCATGGGGTATATGTCATGTTGTTAGTTAAGATCCAGTGAACCCTCATTCTTGCCAACAAATCTCCCCATGGATTTATCCTCTATTCCACGCATCGAAGCTGATGCCATGTACTCCATTCAGACTTGCAGGCAGGAAACGTATGGAGTACTATGCACCCATCAACAATGGATAGGTATGAGAATGTACACAGAATCATCATGAATCAGAGATTAGGCCGGACTACATGGCTGGAGACTGCAACTCAGTTAGTTGCCAATTATGCGAGGCGGCTCCGGGGGGAAAAAGTGCAAGGGTTAATCACAGTTGCACGTCCTTGATCCAGTTCCAAACCCTGTCGACAAGCGTAACATGGAGTACAATGTTCGTCTTTCATCTGTTTCTTATTTTTTCAATATCTGTGTTTACTTGCTGCGAGTTCAAATTCAGGCGCCATTGCCGCTTCAATGATCCAATCTCCTTCTCAGTGGAGGCAGGTAACATTCTCAAGGGACTGAGGGGGAGGGCTGTTGGGGCAGTGACATTTGAACCTGCAACCTGCCCAAAATGTGAATGTTCACTTCTGCTCTATTTGCTATTTAGCATACCTTTCTCGGCCTTTGGCTAAGATCAAGTGTAGTATCTGTTCTGATCAGGTTAATACTACTTTTAATTTCGCTGCTGCTGAGAACCACACCTAGTATCTGTAGGCAGGGCGTCTCTAGTCTAGGTACGACCTTTCACAAGGGTAGCATTAGGATTACAAAGAGCAGACCTGATAGGCAGGGCAGGTAGCACCTCGTCAGAGCCTCAAGTCAAGCAGTTTGGACCAATTTTTGGTTCATGACGTTTTTCATATTTGGACAATAGACCAGGTGCTATTTTTAGCACAGCAGCAAGGAGATGGGGCACAGCCATACCTTGATGGTTCTGGCAGTATACACCATCATGTTCAACTCTGATTTACACTGTGTGCTCAGGGTAGTTGAGCGCCCAGACGTAAACAAGTATATCTCGGTTTCATCCATTATTGCCACGTGTCTGATCAGGGTCGGTTTCGAGTGAGGCTTCCACTCACGATTACTTCTCAATCAAGTGCGTACGAGTGAAGTCTCTCTGGGTTTACAACGATCAAGATATACAGTAAACTTCTCTCTGGGTTTCCCGCGTTTAAGTGCATCTGACAGGGTCTCTGATGGAGACACTGAGAGGCAGCACAGGGAAAGACAAGGAAACAGATGACAATCTCCACAGTATTGCAGCTGAGGGTTTAGGGGTTAGGGTGTAGACAGAAGCAACAAAGGAATATGAACGGGGGTTGCTGAGTAGGTTTAGTCACAGTGGTCCGGAAGTAAACGAAGTCTAGCCAGCTCCCAAGGTCGACTTTTCAGAGGAGAGGAGCACAGGCCGAGGGTTTAGGGTTTAAGGCCTTTTGGTCGCTCACGAGGGGGTAGGGAGGAGTGTGAGGAAGGAACAGGTCGGCATGGACAACGGATGAACTCTTCCTAGGGTCAAAGGTGTTATCCGGCAGATCTGGAGTCCAGGTCTGAGAGGGAAGAGAGGGTCAGGGCAAGCTGACAGTCAATCCTCCACTGCGGTGGAGTAATCAATGCTGTTCAGGGGTCCTTCGGCCGGACAGAAGGAAGCGTGCGTGAGTTTTCCATCGATGTAATGTTTATTTTGACTTGCCGGTGGAATAGGAACCGGACTGTCGCTCCCCAGAATAGGAGCTAGGACCATTAAAAAAAAAAAAAAAAAAAAAAAAAACGAGTGAAGTCTCTCACAATCATACACATGTTATAAGATTCTTCAGTGGGTTTCTATCACTACAAGAAGAGATAGTCATTGAGGAGGGTGCAGACACCCAGTCCAGGTCCCAAGTTCCTGACAAGTCCAAAGTCCCAGGGCCATCCCGTAGGGTAGGCTGTAGGGTCTAGGGGCCGAAGCAATGTAGGTCGGTAGGTCTTGATACCGAAGCGTCGTAGGTCGGTAGGAGTCCATCCGGTACCCGACAAGAAAAGTCCAGAAGCGCCCAGTCCAGTCCGACAGTCCCAAGTCCAATTTTGCAGCACGTCCCAGGAAAGTCAGGAAGCTACCGGACCGACAAAATGTTTGCAGCCGCCGGCCAGTACTGGTCTGAAGCAGGCCAAGCCAAGCCAAGCCCAGCGAAGCCAAGTCCTATATCTAGCTGCTACAGTGCAGCGACTCATCACTTGTTCAGTTGCGAAATGCAGAAGCACTGCTACTGCTCGTATCTTTCTTTTACTAATTCATCTTTGTTTATGCTACTCACTATTAGTTTAGTTTTGCTTTTATTTCATTTTGTCACCATGAATGGAGGTCATTTACTACCCAATGCTTGGCAATCTTTTGTTGAAATCTTTTATCAATTCGTTCTAAACTTAGTCAATGAACAAATAAGTGGTGTACCAGCAGTTAAACAACGATTTTTCCTTTCATCTTTGTCACTTTTAATTATTTGTTATTTTGTAATCTTATTGGCATGATTCCTTGTAGTTTTACAGTGACAAGTCATTTTGTGGTCACCTTTGGTCTTTCATTCTCTCTTTTTATTGGGCTTACTATAGTGGGATTTTCTTAGCATACTTTGAACAGCAATATATGGCAAGATACTCTGTTCCGAACCAGAGTCGGTAATATATTTTGGTAATATATTTTACTATAATTCCCATATTTACGATCTCTTTGAACGGGTCCCACATGTGTGTAAAAATTCCAAACAACTTCAAAGGCAACTTGGGCACTGTGCGCCCAAAGAAGAAGAGGGCGCTTGAGAGATACTCCATAGTTAGGCTAGCGGTAGAGCAGGAGGACGGCGGCCATAGCCACCAAGGTGTAAGCTACCTGAGTGGGTGTATCCAGGGTAACGATCCGGGGTAGAGAGAGAGAGAGAAGAGAGAGTGAGGCAGAACGAGTCAAATCACAGAGAGAGAGAAGAGGGGAGAAGCCATAGCCGCTATCTGGTTGAGATCCGGTGTTACATCTTCGACTCACACGGGTCCTACCGGACCCGACGTAGGGCCGGAGGGACACACCAGGGCCTAAGGGCCCGACCTTTTGGGGTTACAGGCCCTAAAGGCCTGATTTTGGACCAGCACCCATCGGGTAGGCCCAAACGACACTTCGTTTGGGC